CCTGAGAAGAGTACTGATACTCTTACATTGAGGATGTTAGGAAGGTAACAATGGTTGGTGAGGTATCTGTCAACCATTTAGGCTGCCAGTTAAAAGAAGATTCCCAAAGAGTACAGCCACTAGATTCAGAAGCTGCAATGCAGCAACACAATTAGGGGACTAACATTCCAGCTGTACTGCTGATGGAGAGTGTTAAGTTAATGAATGGATTTGCATGATGTGAGGTCCTCAGATAGCAAGAGATTACTTTTTCTTTCTTATTAAAGCAAGTACTTTTTTGAAGACACAGTCTTCACCTGCTCTATCTCAACATTTACCAGTTTCTTCTTCTTTCTTACTAAATGCTTGATTTCTCAAGACCGGAGCTCTGGCACCAGCTTTGTAATGCCGAGAACAATACACTGCTCTGGAAGGAATCACCAGATGGAACTGAAACCATTGGCACCAAATCTAGAATTTTTCAAACTCCTCTTGCTTTTTAACCAAGATTATGCATAAATTAAATATCCCTAGCTCTGTCATGAAGAGTCTTCCTAGAACACAGCAGTTTACTTTCTACACTCCCTAATAAGAGGCAAAATTGCTTGCTTAAAACAGTGTGCAGATGTTCTGGCTGTGATTATAAAAAGAAGGATTGGCTGAAAGACAAAGATGAGCTGTGTTAGAATTGCAACAAATGGTGATAAGGCATCTATCAAACATACTTGTGACCACTTCCAGTAAAAAGGCGTTCAATGGTACATAAAATAAGCGAACAACTAGGAGCCACACGGGCTTCATATAGTTGATTTCTTCTCTTCATGTCCAGGCTAGTTCCAGAAAAGATCAAGAAAATGCACCTTAGGCACCAACCTCACATGCAATCTTTTAAGCATATTACCCTGTGCAAAACTCTATCAAGTACTAAATACTTCATTCAGTGGGGAAGAATAAGATCTTTTTTCTCCTTTTTCTCCCTCATTATTGAAACAACTCCATTCTTTCCCAAAACCATACTGTATTGAAAATATTATTCTCACCATGCCAATGTTGATATTTAGATAAGAGAATTATATTTTTCACTGTAGCATTATGATTTATGTCATTTTCATCTTAATCTTTGAATAATCAGTCATATTTTTATTTACAAATGTTTGTTAATTTAGTTATTGAAAACACTTATCCTCACAAGGGAAAGTTATTTTTTCCTGCCCTACTAAGTGACCTGCATGTGTCTGTGCATAAAACTGAAAATCTTTCCCGTTTGTTTACTTCAGAAGCAGAAGATGCATCAAATTATTCTTCGGACTTTTCTAAAGATTGATGTAAAAGACCAGTGTCTAGTTTCCTGCCTCCAATCGTAAAACAGCTTGTTAACCTGGCAAGCGATTTGTCTGTGGCCATTCCAAAACAGAAAGGAGAACAGCTGAAAATATCGTAGCTGCCCGAGCCAGCGCCAGCCCCAAGGGGCCACATGTTCTGTTTGATGTTTCCAAGGAAAGGTCAGCCTCCTGAGCCAGTCACAAACCGAACAGGAAATCTCCAGTGGGAAGTCAGGGGCTGGTTTTGAGCAGGACAGGTTGCTCCTGCAAATATGGTTGTGCCAGGTTCTCTGCAATACTCATCTCCATAACCAAGACTGGCAGTTATTATATTGCTGCACTATAAATTTAATGTCTGCTGCAATTGCTCCTCTCAAAAACATAGGTATACATTCAGACACTAGCTTTGCAAGCCGAAGGTAAGAGTATTAGCAAAGAGAAATGAAGCCTGTGGTAACTGAAAGAGGGAGACAGAAAACAAGGAAAAATAAAGGAACTAGTGGAAAGTATAGGTAGTATCACAAGAGGCAATGGACGGCCCTTTCCATCTACCTTTCCCTAATGCTTTGCAAGCAAATAAATTTTCCTGTGTACATACATCTCTTCCCAAAAGGTCTTTGGGGAGAATTCAATATTCCTGCACATGAAGTTGTGCCTATGCTTTGGATCCAATTTACCCATTTTTACGTTTTTAAACAGAAATTCTGTCTCAGACTTTCAGGTGGAACTAATATTCATAGCCCCTCAAACCCATTTAAAATATCAGAGGAGCTGTTAGGTTTTAATTCATTTTAATGTGTTTTGATCAACTGTAATTTTAAAATGTTTTGTCAATTTTTGTAATTCTCTCGGTCTTCTACACAATCCTGAGGATTGCTTTTGAGTGGGTGATAATTGTACAGGTGCACACAAGCATGCAAATCCTCCTCTCTGTGGACTCAGGACCAGAAAATATCCCCTTTCAGTGCTGGTAAAGATGCACTTAAAGATGATTCTGTCCCTTTCTTTAAGAGCTCCATAGGGTAGGTCCAAAAAGCAAACTCTATTCAATAAAAAAAAAAATTAGTTCTATCCTCTATGATTATAGATATTCCTACCCCTTGTTAGAAGTGAAATTCTGGAGAAACATGATGAAATGTTTCTTTACATATACCCCAATAACCCTTCACAGTTTTATTCCTTCCTCCCCAGTGGTTGCACTCTCTCTGCCAGTGATGCTCTTCTAAATCTCCTGGGTATTTGGTTTCCTCCTAGCAGTCCTCTTGACACTCGCTTTGGAGCTTCCCCTTTCATTCCCCTAATTAATGTAACACTTTGATTTCACTCTTATGACATTTTGCAGGTGGGTTGTAAGATTGGTGACATGTGTCAAGATTCATTGACAGACTGAAAATTGATTTCATTCAGAGAAATATTGCAATTTTCTCTTCAATTTCATCATTTAACCTTACCATAACCACTTGCCTGTGGAGCTGAAGCGAACAATGTTACGTCTTCCATAAACTAGTCTCAATGTATTAATTGGGCCTTTTATCTCCCACAGAATGTCAAAAGTTGCTATGACACGTCAAAAGCCATCCTGTAGCACAAATAGCAAGTCAAGTATATTATTTTGGAGGTTAATATCTCTCCTTTCAGTGCTATGTTTTGCTAAAATGTACATAAAATTTTGCATGCCTTTTAGAATGTCTCTATTTCCTAACCCTCTGAGGAAGCTATCACAGGATTATTTTAGTTATTACAACACAGATATTAATTTTGTATTTCATTGTATAGGTACACACATATGTTTTCCTAATAAACATCCCTTTTTTCTGTAACCTACTCCATCTCCATTATAACAGAGAAACTAGACATTTTAAAGGTTCTGCAGTTTACCACGGGGAACAAAATATTGTGGAGATTAAACACTAGACATGGAAGATAAGCTCTTCCATCAGATGTTTTATTGGTAAACCTGAAATAAATAAAAAAGGCAAATTTGGAAAAAAAAAAAGATTTCTGGAATTATGGAATCAAAAATTAGATCCCTCCAATTTTTGTTATTTTGAGTGAATGAACATTATGCATATTTAAACCAAAAGTTCTGTGTATGAAGATCACATGCAGCTTTTCTTCTGGTTAATTTTTTCACTTACTTTTTTAAAGATATCACAGAAATCCTAACAAAGTTCAAACTACGCTGAAGACAATTCCAATTAAGTACTACATCATCAGTCTGTTAGTACCCTGCAAGTATTTACAAACCCATTTTTGCACTCAAATTTTCATAATAAGATAGGAATCAAGAGTGGAACACCATTAGACTATCACTTTTCAAGAGAAGACTTCATAACTATGTCTAACTTTTGTGAACCATTCATCGGCTTGGGCTAAAATAAATTCTGTCAAGGCTAGAGAGAAATAGCAATAATAGCATCTGATCTGTGCAAGCTGGTTTTCTTTTGACATGCAGCTGCCAATACTCAAAAAAAATTTGCAAATCGGAAAGCTACATATTTATGAGAACTAGTCTCCATAAAACTCAAATTTTATCATGTTTGAAACTTCCTTTTAAATGAGGACAGTAAACTTGCAAGTGAAACTTGTAAATCAGTTTTATCACTGTCTATGTGTGCATATGTATGATATATAAATATACTTGAAATTCCAAATTGAACTTGTAAGTAGGTCTGATAAGTTTTTCTACTTCAAATTTCATCTCTTTCTAGGAGGTAGGAGGAGAGTCATGAGAGTATTATGGCTGGTACCGTGCACGAATATGCATTTTGTATGTTGTGCATGCAGTACTGCACACTTTCCTTACTGCAATGGAACTATCTGTCCTTATAATAGTAAATAATTCTTTAGAAAATGATCCAATCAGTTAAATTTACAATTTTAATAAAATACAACTAGATTCTGATTCACAGTAACAATGAATCAGCTGCAAATTTCCAGTTCCATACTAAGCTCCAGGATATAAAGCTAAAGAAATAGGGACTGGAGACTTACTTGCTCGTTTTTCCAATATAACATGGTATATCTTAGTTAAAAAAAATCTTCCTCTATTACTATAGTAGAAACAGCACTTCCTGGGACCATGACTCTTCCACGTACCTGTAACACTGATTCAAACCAGTAATAGTTTGCCATGATAATAAAATGATTTATTGTCTGCATATTCTGTAAATTACATTCATTGTGAAAAAATAGTAGTGTCTTCAGATCTGTTTTATATATAAGGAATATTTTCATCATCAAAGCTACAGACAACTAAATGTAGAATAACTGGTGACTTTAGGCATCAAAGGAATCTTTGCATGCTTTGTCAGCTGCAAAATGTCTAAAACACGGCTGACAATAAAGGATACATTTCTGGTCTTAATATAATTTGTATATTGTGAAAAATTAAAAATGTGAACACGAAGGAAAGATGATGTCAGAGGCCAACTAATTTGTAATGCTTTTTGTTTTCTCTAGTTGTTTGGTAAGCTGCTAGAAAAGTGTTCCCTTTTGCTTAGCAGTAACCTTCAGAGATCTTCATAATGCATTATTACATGCTTTGCACATTTTTCCTCCCATTTTTATACTTGTTTATGAAGCTGTCTAGAAATGTATCCCTATTATCATACAGGCTTATCATACAGTTGTACCACACCTAAAATAAGCCAATTAATTAGTAATGATGGGCTCTTTTCAGCTGCACACTCGTTTTCAAATGAATTTATTGAAGTAAAGGATTTACAGCGTATGGACTCACAGACTTCTCATGAGTTAAACTGGCATCCATATGTACAGCTTTCAGCAGAGAACTCTAGAGTAATATTTACAATGTAAATATCAACTTTCATTACATAAGAAACAAATATATCACAACTTTCACTTCACAACATATTTGTTCTGGTTTGATGACTAAAGTCATCTCTTTGAAATACTATGTGGAACTCAAAAATAACTCGTTCTTGTCATAGACTTTATCAGGTGTCCTTCAGAGGTCCTGAAAAGCAAAGGAGAAATAGGTTCTAAAAGCCATTTTTGTAAGCAGTTGCATCATGAGGTCTATAAAAGCAGACAAGACAAGAAGTAACACTTGATATAAAACAATTTCTGCACTTGGGGCTGACGAGCATGAGACAGAGCTATTCGCAGGAGCTCGCTGGGCATTACAGCCAGCAGACATAGCTGGAGGAGGAGGAAGATTGAAGGATTAGGCAAAAATGTTACTGCATATCGGCCTGCAACACAGAACTGCTCACTTTGAAAACAATCGTTATCTCTGAGATGGGTACACAAATTCAGTTTCCTTGATGCGCATCACCTCAGCAACTGGGCACTGCCATAAAATGCCGATACTGAATAAGCGATTCACCTATAGGAAGATCCAGCACACTTATACAGTTCATAAAAAAAGGAAAGGACTGAAAATATTTCCAGGAAGGTGTCCACGACCTGATGCACCACTACTCTCTCACTTAGTCAATGCCAGAAGTTTTAGAAGGTGCAAAATCCAGGAGCAGATATTTTTGCAATAATCTTGTTTAGAAAGAACTTTTTTTTCCTGAATCTCATCACTTGCAAGTTGTTTTGCTTCTTGAGGCATAACAGTTTATGTTCTTTCTAATCTTTGGGAACTTTAGAGGAACTGCTACATTTGTGGAAAGCAAAAGAGTATTTTCTTTCAGTCTTGGAAGGAAACAACATTTTGAAGAAATGTCTTGTCTTTTATTTCCCTCCCCACTCCCACCCCCCAAAAAAAAAGTTATCTTCAAAAGTAGCCTTTTTTCTTACTTGTGGTTGAGACATAGCTGAATGCCAAAACCATCCTATCATCAATTTCATAATACACTTTTTAGCATACCAAGCCCTATTCACTTCTATGTTACCCTTTCAATTTTATGTCCCTGCAAGTGCTGTGATGTAGAAGGGTTTACATTTCAGTAAACCAAAGAAGCATATTTGTGAATGATTTTAGAAAAATAGTAGTAGCTAAATGGAAAACAGTAACTGTAATATTTGTATATCAGATGATGTCTCTGCAGCACACCTTAGATGGGAGTCAAGACCTTTCTTAATGCTTAGGGTTCATGTTGCTGATCCTCTTAGTTCTAGAGGCAACTTCCTCTTAATGAAATAGACGTTAAACAAAATGTGCAGCTTTTTTTTTTAATTAAAAGAAATATCCTTGAGTTTGTTCTCTGAAGAAACAATAATCTTTGTAATAAAAGATGAGTCAATTCTGGTTTTATGCTGCAGTCTACACAAGCTGAAACACCCAAGTGAGTTAGGTGCATTATTAACAGCACCATTTAATTAGGAATTTTCAATAATAGCAATCTTGGGATAAAATAATTATTGTTATTAAAATGGTTATTATATTCAGACACAATCCTTGAAGAAGCATGCAGCATTTCATGGAACATGGCTCTTTCCTAGATGGTTCTGCTTTTCTGATAGGCCACACCATGTATGATTAATCTCATTTTATGGGGTCAGTCAAGTAACAGATATCAAGAGGAAAGAAATTGGGCATACCAGTGGGAGGTGGCTCAGCAGCTCATCTACAGAATCATAGTTTTCTGAAAAGGAAGGTTCAAGAAGTTCTGCTTCATCTCGAAGTTTAGCAGGGTTTAGCTCTTCCTGGCTGTTGCAGATCAGAAACAAGTTTTATTGCTCTCAGAAGAAAAAGCAAACAAGCAAGCAAAGCATTCTTCTCACTGTAGCTACTGCACGTTTTGTTACACTTCTAGCAAAGTTTTATAAACCACATGAAATAGCATGTTTAACAGATGAAGAGACATGATATTTAAAAGCAGTTGTCTAAATGACTGAATATACAAACAGAATATAAGCTCTACAAGAACATATGCTGGCCCTTCTCACCTATACTGATTAGATCTTTCTGGGACTTCTAAATTTTCATTTTATATGCCTACTTAAAGGCAAATTTTCTTTATAAAATTGTTGTGTATGTTACATAGGTCTGTGGATTTTCCTTTAAGAGACTTTTTCAATAAATAAATCCATTTTAAGAATCTGTCAGAAGCCTTTTAAAATTGCCAGATGCTGTCTCCTCTTTATTTTTTTATTCTGATCTGATTGTAGTGTCTGTTCCAGTCTGGAAGAACACGCTGTCTGTATTTGAAAACCACGTTATAAACTGCATTATAAAGTCATTAATGTTCATTGCCTTTTGTTTGTCCTCTTTGTATACATATGAGGGCATAAATCTTTTCTGTCTTAATACCATACAAGTATGGAAACAATATATATGTGCTTTCTTGTAGTACCTTCTTTTTCCAGTTAAAACTGAGTTTAAGTATTTCTTCACAGCCATCTGCTTTCGAAAGCGGCTGTAGTTGTCAGTGAAGACAGCGTCAGAGTGGCGTTTGACAGGACTGTCCTGGGAGCTGGCAATACAACAATTACAAAGAAAGAATTAATCGACGATATCTGTTTAAAGGAAGAGATCATTAAATGAGTGAAACAAGCTCTACGATGTTGATTAGCTAAATAAAATCAAATTCTCATTTCAGCTTTCATTTCCAAGTATGACCTTGGATCTTCCTTCTGTTGAAAAGAAGCCACTGCTGCTATTGCTTTCTACGTATTTTAGTAACAAGGATCAAATTCTAAGGATTCTAAGGATTTTTGGGCACACCTTCTACTGATTTCTTTCTCCTGCTCAACTTTGCCATGGCCCGTGTAATTATGATCCATACTCAGGGATTTCTAGAGTCCCTGTTTCAGGAATTCTGCAGGATCAAATGGCTGAGTATAGATCTCGTGACTCCCTCCTATCTGTTCTCATATCCCAGGTCACTTTTTCTAATAAACTGACTTTATTCTGATTTCTATGATTTGCGTACATACATTTTAGTACAATGCCAAGGTGCAGGCTGGTTTAAGTCACATTAAGCTCTTACAGGACCTGATCACTGTTTGTATTGAACTCAGTGAGGTCGGAGCCTGCTTCTGGGGAAAATAAGAGTGTAGCATCACATACATAGCTACAAATGCTTGTTTTAAGCAGGTATCAGGAGACAAAATACACCTTGTGAAATCCAGACTTGGAGGCCTATTTTTTATGCACGATCCTGGGAAGCCTCAGAGTGTTCTGCTTTAAATGATCTATGTTAGTGTAGAGCATGTGAGAAACTGGTACTACGTGTTCTGGAACAAAGGCAGCATTGACATAAATGCAAGACCTAATTTTCACTCAGCTTTTGAGCAGATGAAGTAGGCACTCAAAGGAACTATCATACTGGGTCAGATCACAGTATTCTACTATTCCGTTCCCAAGAGTGCCCAGTAGCTGCTGCTTAGGGATACAAAAACAAGGCAAATATATAGTGATCCTTCCCAGCATCCTGCGACCATTAGTTTATGAATGTCGTGGTCTGGAAGTTGCATCCAAATCCCTTGTCTACGGATTTGCCTCATTCTTTTTTGAATCCTGTAATACAGATCTCTCAAACATCTGGCAATGTGCTCTACAGTAGGAAAAAAAATCATCCCTTTTTGTTTTCACTGTAAAGCAATTGTTTCTTAATTTCATTGAGCATTCCCCTGTTGTTATGTAAGTACTGAGTAATCAAACATTTCGTATTTATTTTTGCCATTCATCTGCCAAGCTAGTAAAAACACTACTAGAGAAAAAAAAATCAGCAAATTGGCGTGATAATCATTATAACATTGCCAGTATTTATTATGAGTGCTATGTGCAGTGTCTGTTGCTCTACCCCTCACAGCTGTATCAGGAATAAATAGTAACGTATTCACTTAGTAACAAATACCACTAAGTTGTTATATAGCATTTTCAGCTCCCCCATCATTATATCAGTTTCTCTTTTATAATCTCTAAATCGCAAAAATGAGAACTTAGGTACAGAAGGGTAAAAAATTGCCAATGAAGCCATCTAGGAGAAAAATCTACCTAATGTAAGTGTCACCTCACCTAACTCGTTTTCTAATAAGCGAATGCAGATATCTCTTCACAGCAAGTTTAGCCAAAAGATGGCTGTAGACACTGGTGAAAATTCCATCAGCATGCCTTGCATTTCTGAAATGGACAATAAATAAACTCTACAATAGAACCTGGGTTCATATCATTTTGATAATGTTCATTTTGTAAACATACTGCTTTCCTTAAGTTATCTATTGTACATATTAAATTAAGCTAATTTCATAAAACAACTTCCAGATTTTCACAATATACGTTTTAGCCCTTCCTGGGAAGTGAAAGAATTCATCATGCCAGAATGGCAACACAACCAACACTTCTGCAGACATTCCTACCGCTACGAATATTCAACCAGAGGCCATGTGGGTTTTTTCTGTAATTTATTCTTCCTTTCCTATTTATTGGTTTGCAAACACGATTGATCTTTTGGCATAATTCGAGTAGTGCATCATCATTTGTATTTATGATAATAAAGAAACTCACCTATCAATAATTCTGGACAGATCAAAATAGAATTTCTCATTTTCAGGTAGTGTGTTCTGCAAAATGTCTGATTCAGACTTTAATGACCCGTGGGCACGGTCGGGTTCACTGGCTCCATCAAATGGCATTCTGTTTCCCAGTCTGTTGAAGAAAGAAACCATGTGAAGTACAGTCAGCTGAGGACATGCAACACTTCACTGCAACTTTAATTCTGGTTTGCCTCAAAATGCACAGCTACCTACTTTAATCTGTAAGGCATTTTAAAGTAGTCGGGATAAATCAAAAATCATTTTCAGGTGTAATCCATGCTCATTGATAGAGTAATCGACATAATAGATCCTTCCCTTTAATGCATATTTGCTAGATATATTTTGTCATTGCACACAATTTATTCCAGTGAACAGTGCATAATGTATGGCAATTACAGCTCGGGTGATAAACATGAAGCTCTTGATAACAACTATATTTTATATAAACGATGGATAGAATTACCAGCCTCCACCCAAACAGAGTGAAAATAGTTCCTGTGAAGTACTTACCTTCCAATTAAGTCTTTAAACATGCATTGAAATGCACTGTGAAACAGTTCCTAGGCCTTGTCTAAAGAAAGTAAATACACCCTCAAGAACTTCAAACTAAATATAAAGTGCAGTCGTGTATCACTACATGTTTTTATTCTCTCATGTTCAAAATAATTTGCTAGTTGCAAGTTAAAAAAGATCCAAACTTAATCTTTTATAATGTATCACAGCAACTGTCCTGTATAAACCAATTTACAGTTACTCCACATTTTCGTAAACTGGTTTCTTATGATGTGTCATATTTTGTCAAGTACTATCTGACTGCATAGCAGTAGCTTGACATCAGGCATTTCTTCTGGCTGCTTCTGTCCGTGGCAGACAGCAGGCTCCCTTCGCTGTAGTGAACTCCCATAACATGCTGTTGTGCAAAAATCACATACTAAAACTAGGATAGGCTATTTTGTAGTTTTACAGTCATTATAGCTATTGTGACTACTTATATATCTGAGGTATGCAAGACTTCTGTCTGGTAAAAAAGTTAAGTTGTGTAAAATAAACCACATCAAGTCCCACCTTTTGAAAATCAGTCACTGCAGTTTTGCTATACCATTTTCCTTTGGTCTTTTTACACTTGATGTTCCTTTTAGCTAACTGTAAAACGTACCTTTTTGCCATCTGATTTAATCTACTTAGAAACTAATAACAACTTTGACAATTCAAAGCATGCAGCAGTACAAAAACTACACATAGGTCCATATGGATCACTTCCCCTCCTTCATAATTCAGGAGTTTTTAATGTGTTCGATTTTGCCTATGTATCTCTCTGCTTTTTAAAAACCGAACTCCCGAGAGAAAGGAGCTTTCCCTCAAGAAAAGCCGACATCGTTTTGATGGACAGGCATCATGTTCCGGAACACATTTTAACATCCTCCCCATATCCATCTACACACACGGTGGTCACTGCTGGCCGGATCGTGGGGTAGCAGTGCTGCTGGTGCCTCTGCAGGTGCGTGCGTGTCTGGGGGGGCTTTTAAAGGGCAGGTTCGGCGGGCACCGACCGGGCTCGGCCCCGCACTCTTGGCCGAAGCTTCAGCGCGAAGACGCGCACCTCGCCAGCTCCCGAGCGAGACCCCCGACGCGGAACGCCGTGCCGCCTGCTCGTCGCAAGAGCATAGCGGAAGACGGGCGCTTGTCACAGCCCCCCCCGACTTCCCCGCGAAGGGCGAGCCCAGGCGGGCCGGCGGCGCGGAGCGCGGCGCTGCGCGGAGCGCGGCCCTTACCGCGGGACGGGGGCGAAG